ATGACAATAATCATATGATAACCAGTTACTATCCAATAACTATATATGTTTGGTTATATATAGAGGATATAGTTATGGTTATAACTATGTTATCTCTATCCACTATGATTGTATGATTATATATTGGATCGGATGATAATATTCATATGATAATCATATAACTATTGGGATAACCCTGAATAATCAATGTCCCATAATCCTTTATATAATCCCCAATGTATAACGCCACATCATCTGGGTAAATTCTATTGGATAGATTTGGATAGTATAACCCCAGATTATTTCTAATTATGTCAAAATTCACTTGATTGGAATTTTCATATGGTGCCAGCATATAATACTCAACGACTTGTTGGATAGTAGAATAACAACGCCAAAGGAATAGATAGGACCATAATCATATGAGAATCACGCAACTATTGGGATAACCCCACAATCAATATCCCTTAATCCTTTGTATAATTCCCAATATAGTGGATAGATGTGGATAGTATAAGCCCATATAAGAATCAACTTTGAACACTGCTCAATTGGGAAAAGCCGACTTGGCGATGTTCCCAACCCAACTTGTGATTTTAACAACAAAAATATGGTGGTTTCACCAACAAAAAAATAAGCTTTGCATCCAATAAGCTTTGCATCCAATAAACATGAGGAAGTTACCAACAACAATGGGATTTTACCAACAAACATCGGGAAATGAACCAACAAAAATTGGGATGCATCTAACGAAAATGAGGGTGTTAACTGGGGATTGACCTCAGCTCAACTGCGATGGTTGATCAACACCGGCTGCTGTCATCGGTATCCGAAAAAATCTTCCCCCACTGGGCATATCTGGTGGCGAATTTGAAACCCTGAATCCAGTGGTTCATGACCATCCTATCTAGATAAACTAAAATAATGCAAACGGAAAAGTTCGGCCATAACTTGGGATCCCCAAAAAAATTCCCCAAGCCAATTCCCATCAAAAAAGTGACGTCGCAACCTGAGCTCCTCCATCTTAGTTTACCAGTTTACCCGAAAAAATCCACTGGAATCACACGAAAAAAAAAAAACATGCCTCTTGAAATGACCAGATTAGCCGAAGATTCCGAGATCAGCTTCACAGAAGGCATGCCAGGGTAGATCTTCCTAGGCTGGGCTGGTGCCAACACGGATGGCTTGTCACATGAAAAATGACCGGCATATTTATATCACCATAGATGACCATAGATGGCCATAGTATATCTAATCATAGTCATAGCCAAATGCTTGGTGTCCCCCTTTGCTAGACATGAAACCATTGAATTCCTCAGGGCGTAGCCAGTTTAGGAGGGAGACTAGAAGGGAGGTCCACGCGCTATACCTTGGAGATCAGTATATATAGCAACCCCAAGTTCGATGCCGAAAAGAGGGAAATATGCCATCCTGGTTTCACACCTTTATAGGCATTGAACTTGGTGCTTCCTATATACGTAAATACATGTATGTATGTATATATATATATCATATACAATTCCTGACTATACAATGTGGATGTTCACGGCAAAAAAAAACGCCGAGTTTCTCATCGTTGAAGACCCATCCACGGCCCTCCGGAAGTCGCAGGTACCTCCGCTTGGGATTCCGCTTTCGGTGGATAATTATCCATCCCTTTGAAACCATGGTGGATGTAGGGGATTTCCACATCGGGAACATAGAAATGCGGTGTTTTTCATAGGGGAAAAATGTGGTTGATATTGCTGATATAGTTGAGTGCGTAAAAATGATCCAAAATGATGATCATAGCTCAATAGAAGAAATGTATATTCATCCTCTAAGAATCCATCCGATTTGTTTGGGGATGATTTGGAATTCACATCCCAAATAGGACAGGAAATGTTCCCCAACCACCCAACTTCCCCACCCCAGACTTGCTGAACCATGAAGCCCCAACCACAACCCCCCCACCCTACTGGGATTTTGCGTGATTGGCAAGTGGGTTCTAACGACTTACCACTCGGATGTATTGGGATAAACCACATTTACTAACCTCGTAGTTAATTCTGGCAACATAAAAGTAAGGATCGAAATGATAAACTGGTAACTGGTAGACCCTTCAAAAGGGCAAATTTAATACTAAGGCCGACCAGTCGTTGGTACAACGTGGCTACCTCGTGGGTACCCAATGACTCATACCCACATGGCTGTGCATCAAAACCCCCAGCACCCAGTAGCCATCCCAGCACTCTTTCGTTCAATACTAAATCACATTGACTCACAGTCACCTGAGTTCCAAAGAATGGTAACATCATCAACTTCAAAAGTGGGTGGCTCTAAAACCTTCCCCCCCAAAAAAAAGTCATCTCAATTCTTCCTCCGGGTCGCTCCCCCCTTTTTTTCCCCCACCCCTCCCGGGTCGCAAGCGTTGGTCGCTGTCGAGGCCGTCCACAGCTTCGATGGCCGTGAAGGTCTCCCCTTGCCGCAGGATCTCGCCCGTGCGCGGCGAGCGCTCGTCCGGCAGCGTGCGGATGGCGATGCCTTCCGCCGTGACCTGCGGTCACGAACCACGGGCCAGCCGAAAGGAGGACCAGTGAAGTTCGTTGAGTTCACAAGGAAATGATGGGGAAACATTGATAAATATTGTGTGTATATATATATATATACATCATTATACATCCATAGTGTTCTAAATGATGCTACCAATTGGAAAAACTTGGGGAAAAGCCGTGGAACATGGTGGAGAACTGGATGTCACTTCGGGCGACCTGACCCATCTGTTCTGGTGGTGTGGCACAAAGGGTGGCCCGCAACCAGGCCAAAACCGGTTTCGGGTCTTCCATGGATCTGGTTTTGGCCATATGTTGACACATCTGTCACACTGTGAAGAAAGGCTCAACAACCACACAGCAGCGGCTGCACCTGATATTCTCTTTCCTCCATATATTCCAACGTCCTGGGGCCAGGCTCATGCTCTGCTTCGTAGATACTTAGATATCGACAGCAAATCAAGACGGAGACGGCTTGATGATCTTTGATGTGTACAGTGGGACAGGTCATGACATATCACCACGTCTAGTACCCTCTGGTAATTTAACGTAGCTATTGAAAATGGCCATTTATAGTGGATTTTCCCATTAAAAATGGTGATTTTCCATAGCTATGTTAGTTTACCAGAGGGTAGTACTAACAGAATATCATGAGCTTGGGGATCTTCACCTGCAGAGATTGGGGACGATCAGTTTTGACCCATCTCTATCTTGCGAGTTCCCTGAGGCAGCGAAGTCCGGCAACATCCAGACGTGTTTAGTAAGTCCCCTGAATGGAACAGAACCTGTACTGTACAATATGATATATATATATATGTTGGGAAACCACCATTTTATATATGGTGTCCATGAATCACATCATCATTTTAACAGCTGAAATTATAACATTTCACAAACATGAAATTACATGATCTCACCGTATCTCACCCGCTGATAACATTTTTTTAGTAAGGTCGTTTCGCGATTGATGCAGATCTTTCACACAAACGTGGCTAAGAAATCGTATAGTACACATCACGTTACATATTATACATGTACATCCCTATATGCGCATGTTTCACAGGGTACATAGATAATTCATATGACATAGAATTTGTCTTCTTACACAGATCATTTAGACCTCACGTTTGACCCATCCTTTCGACATGATATACAGAAGGATGTCTCTTCATATGTGCCTATATATGTATGTGAGTGTGTGTATGTATATACGATTCAAAAAACTAAAGAACAATAGGAACACTATTAATAGCATGTAATAGCGATAATATAAACAGTAATCAAATAATGATGACAATAACAGTAATGACGAGAAGTAATGGTACATACTGTACAAATAGAGTAATGTAAATTCAAGTACACACACGAAACAAAAACACATAATATGTAGATTATCATAAGATGAAACCAACTACAATAACACAAAATGACATGTAGTTATATCACATAGGATAGAAACATATGTTATGTAACAATAATAAACTGTTTTCTACGGTATCCTTATGGCAACCCCAAATAGATATTATCCACCAGGTGAGGTGTTTTCCAGGTGAGGTCGCCAGTTTTGTTTGTTGGTTCAGACACCCATTAACAAGTTATATGGCAGTGGGTCAAAACCCTGGTACCCCTGGTGAACATCAAAATAGCTGGTAAATGGATGTTCATCCCCTAAAAATGGTATTAATAGGTATTGATCCATAGCCATATACCTTATGAACCCAAACATCAACCAAAAAACATGTGTGTCAACTGAGCCAAAAGGCCTCAACTTATCGTACGAGTAATGTTGGGCAACCATAAACCATCCTAGAAAACTATCAATGGGTGGTATAAGCCATCCATATGGCTGGCTTATGACATTGCTTTACTCGGAGTTCTATAGATATCAGCTATAAATCAGCTATAGATATTTACTAACATATCATGAATCAGCTATAAATCACATAAAATCTTCATTTTTTCTTGGGTTATATCACCAATTTCCATCGGGTTACTATAGATACTTGAGAGCAGGCGGAGGCGGACGAAAGGTAGTGTAGTGGGAGAGGAATGGTGTCAAAATGCTGCGCCCCTAAGATGATACACCAAAAACGTTTTTGCGCAGTCTACGATGATTTTATCCAGAGCATGACTGCATGACACTGTGTCTTGTGCAGCGTGAAATGATGCACGAAAAGGGGTTTATTTAAAACCCCTTTTTCAGACCCCTTGCAGCAACTGTTATTGAGGCTGAAGCATACCAATTATGCTGGACTACAGGGACATCTCCCTCATGGAAAGTGTGCCTCTAATGTGGGGGCCCGTGACCGCGTCACCCGTGGGAATTGAACCCATGACCATTTTCGGGGGGGGGGCCCCCCCCCTTATAATTGATATCCAATACATAACGGCGAGAATTCCATGAATTGCACGGGCTGGCCCCCCAATACCCCCTAAGCTTGTGCTGAAGCACGGAGAACTCAGGTAGCTGACGCTACCTTTCGTGATAAATTACCCAATGAAGTTCACAGATGTCCTTCCACTTCGACTGGTGGACTTCGTTGCTTCCTCCACGGCCACTTTTGGCGGCGCCGCTGGCTGCACCGCCTGCCCTGCAAGCGCGGCAAGCGCTGGGGCTGGAAGAAATCAGGAGAATTTGCCACCAAATCTGCGACAGTCGTTGTTGACTTCTTTTTTCCGGCAGAATGAAACCCAGCACAGTGACATAGGACATGTTTACTCATGGTCGGATTCCCCACATCCAAACCCTCTGTGGCGACCTAGGCCCTGCTGGAAACTGTGAATTCGCTATCTGCAACTGGGTTGTAACCATGGAACCAGTTCCCAATTGAAATATCCACCATCGTCCAACACTTAGCCACGGTTTTGATGCTTATCCAGCTACGGTGAGGTGCTCCCCAGTCATGTTTGTTGGTTGATAACCCCATGAAAACTATATTAACTATAGATACATAAAAACCATAAGTGCATGAAATACCACCATTGCTGTTGCGGAAAAATCCCATACTTCCCCCTGCAAAAACACAGCACCTTGCACTGGGAAATCATCGTACAGGAGGCTCAGCTCCTACGGGTGAAGTGAAGATGATAGAGACTTCAAACCAGCAAAGATCTGAATTTAGATGTACTGTATGTGTGTGTGTGTGTGCGCGTGCACTCAGGTTTTTGTGCATATGTATATATATATATAGTTCTATGCACCTTTATATAGAGTTGTATATATATATATATATATATATCGTTCCAAATGTTGTTGTTTATGTATAGTTATATGTGGTTCTGTATATATTTATATGTATTTACATACTTAATTAATATTATGTGTATAAAAATAATAACATATATGTCTATGTTGTATGTGTATAATCATATATATATACATAATGGGATTGTATATATATATATGATTTTATAGTATATTTGGTTGTAAATTTCCCATTTCAGGATGGTTAAAACATGTTAAAGTTTCACGATAGTTTTTCTAAGAATGACTAAAAAAAACTCTGTGTATGAGGAGTACATCATGCATTTGCATCTGGTACTCTTAAGGTTTAACATGGTTTATCATTGTTTAACCCTCTGGAGCTCAAAGCCAACATAATTATTAGGGGGATTGGATTGATCATGATTACTCAACCAACCATTGGGAAAGGGACATCTACCATACCCGCAGCTAACATGACGACCCTGCCATCTGGGACTTGGAAGGCTACATGAACTACAACCTGTTTTTCTCCAGAATTGAATCATCTGAAAATCAGGTCCCAGAAAAATATGGGGATGGGTCAAAACCCTGGTACCTAGTGACCCCCAAAATAGCTGGTAAATGGATGTTCATCCCACTAAAAATGTATCTATAGGTATTGACCCATACCCATATCGCAAAACCTCATAGCTCGGAATGGCTCGGCTTGAGCTCGCCGGCTCATCCTCAGATCTTCAGGGACCCACCAGGTGGAAGTCACCGGGGACTTGATCCACATGGGAACTTCTTCTGTTCACCGGACAGCCATAGAATTCATGGAAACTACCCTCTGGTAAACTAACATAACTATGGAAAATCACCATTTTTAATGGGAAAATCCACTATAAATAGCCATTTTCAATAGCTACGTTAAATTACCAGAAGGTATGAAAACTTGCAAAATCTTCAAATCTGAAAAACTATGAAAGTCATTGATGGAGCAAGGTGATCATGAAAAATGATGTTTTTTTTCGATCAAGAAGTTGCAAATTTGATCAGCCTGTCAGTGCCTAAGCTACTTCACCATCAGTGGATTGACCCATAGTTTTCCAACCAACTGCCATCAGTATGGGAGGTACCCTTAAATCAATTTCTGGTTGGTGGTTGACCTACCCCTCTGAAAAATCATGGAGTGAGTTCGTCAGATTGGATCATCCCAACGAAAATGGGGAAGTCATAAAATTCCATGGTTCCAAAGCACCAACCAGATTTAAATCATCCAGCGGGATTCTGACATCCCAGGAGACCCAGGAGACCAGGGACTGACGGGACTGACATCCCCAGTACCGTCGGACCAGCGTCCATGCCATCAAAGACGCTCCCGACGAAGGCACCTGGCAGGGACGACAGCCAGGGGCTGATGTCATGGGTTGCGAAATCCGAAAATCACCGACCGGATGGTTGAAAACCTATACAAAATGGCATGTTTACCACCAACTGGTGCAGGATTTCGCAACCAGTATGAAGCCATGTCTCAAATGTTTCTGGTCATTTCAAAATAAATCGCAGCTCGTCACCTCGTCGTTAATTCGCATGTGACCTTGCCTCGTTAATTTCGGATTGGGATGGATTGGGGAGTTACTGGGTGAAACTTCGACTATTCGACTACTACCTCTGACTCAAGCGAGGTTGTCTCAACAATGGAAATTCCCGTTCTATGCCATGGATTTTCCCTTTAAAACATCCATTTTGATCGGGGATTTCCCAGCTTGCCATGTTTGATGACAGAGGGTATTCCCATAAAATGGTGTATCCAAACCCCCAGAACCCAGCCTTCTGAGCGCCCCGGACCCGGATCCTCCTCTTCGAAGGGCATGGAATAACCCTCGTCCCAATCCTCCTCATCGTTGTACATGTCTCCATCCTTAGGGAAGCTGGAAAAACCAAACACCGAAAATCACTTCCATGAAGATCCCGGGCCAATGATCCGAGAGATTGTCCCATTCCGAGTTGGGAGTTTCCCAATGTTGTCAACCAAAAAATCCACAGATTTCAGATCATCCCTCAAGCTCGGCACATCCAAAAAATCATATGGATGTCGGGGATTTCTACTGGGGGGGTCCTAAGTCATGGGAGTAGCTCCAAATTCATTTTAGTATTGAAACCTATGGTGACTAAATGGGCACTCAATAACCAGAGTTGTTCACTTCAACCACTTGCAAGGATAATCCTCCAACTAGGGGTCTTCCAAAAGCGTGAAAAAATCTCTGCTGGATCTTTCATGTCCAAACTCATATGAAGATTTGCAGAATTGCGACTGCCTGTGGAAGCTGGCAGCGTCTTTTTCAGCATAAAACCAGACCTCCAAAACGCCACTGCGTGATCCTCGAGGAATACTGAAATTTAGGGTCTTCCGGTCATACCCCCATTTTGGGGCTATTGTTGTGGTCAACAAAAAACAATAGCCCCTTTATTGGTCTTTAGGTGTTCTCTCTCAAAACAACCCAACATCGCGTTGTTTATTGGGCTTACCACATTACCACATCCTTGGATCTTCCTGGGGTTTTCAAGCCAAGTTTGGCAGTTCTATAACTTGATTAGCCAGGATTTACAGGGGATATTTTTGACTATGGTTGATGGCTGTGAAAACCAACTTGTAACTGGGTCTCACCGTATTTCTCCGTAATTCACCAAGCTGAACTGCACGTAAGTAAGAACAGTCGCGATTTGAGAATGATTCTCCCAATCCGAAGCGTCATTTGAATGATGACCTCGGCCGAGCCTCAATGTTGTTATACCCTCTGGTACTCAAACGTGATGGAAAATATTTACCCGATTTTTTTGGGGTATGTTCCAATGAAAACCTCCATGATGTTACGGATTTTCAAGTGCCATGTTTGACTACCGTAACATCTGTATCTATCCAGTTCCATGCAGTGCTGGATGCCCAGTATCCATGTCGTCTTCAAAGCGCATTGCACCTGCTTCCTCGTCCCAATCTTTATCGTACATGTCTTCATCCTTGCGGTTCATGGAGCAGGCGATGTTTTTCAGCATGTGTTTGAATAGCATTGTTCTTAACAAGATTGCTAATTTCATCAAAATTATGGTGCCCAAACGGTACCATAAAGTAGCTGGTTAATGGATGCTTATTCCTCTTAATTAATGGCAATGCCATGACGGTTATGACGGTTATGACCCATCCCCATAGGACAAAAACATCGATCCTTCCTGGCAGCACCAGGCAACAGAATGGCGTCCCAGTCCTACAGGTTCCCACAATCAAAACGTCAACGCCTGAAAAAAAAACACACACAACGTCACACAACAATCCCAGATTCTCCCACTCGAAATTCACCGTTGCTACACCGTTACCACCAAAGGTTGCTTTGTCTCCCGGCCTCTTCCGCGAAGCGCATGGTGGTGCCTTCCTGGTCCCAATCCTCAACCTCGTCCTCTGCCAGAGGCAAGGCTTCGTCATCCCAGTTGGATTCCTCGCCGAAGTCCATGTCCTGCCACGCCGGAGATGCAAGTTGCGTTGGGAGGAAAAAAAACTGTTGTGGCCATGGTTGTTGAAAATGCTATGGGGGTAGAAAAACCTGTATGTCATTGGTGAAGAAACATATATATATATATATATAGTGTAACCATGTGTAACCAGCTGTTCTCGGGATATTTTGGGTTAGTACCTGGAAAAAGATGTAACAAAGCCCCGAATTTGATGCGTGTTTCATGCGTAAAAAGTGGATGCCCGAGTTTCAGACACACATCTGTGAGCCAAAACATGAATCTTTCTCAGGACCATGCTACAGGTGTATATTAACAGACGTTATACATTATATACACATGTAGTAAAATATATGTATATAGTTGATTGTAGTTTAGTTTGTATATAGTCATATATATATATGTATCATAGATAATTATACCAATATTGATACTACACTACACTTACGTAATTTTACGTATATTTATGTATACTTATTAATGCAGCATTCATAGAAATACTCACCAGGTGATCTGGCGTCACCAACGTGATTTCCGCTCTCCTTGTCGATGTCATCCATGTCAAAGGCATTTTCCTGGAAAAATGTGTCATGAGCTCCAGTCACCCATGGGTCTATATGGTTATATATATATATATATACATACTTATATATATACATACATACATACATACATACTTATATATATACTGTATAATCTTATATATGAGTACATAACATTTGGAGGAGTTGAATGGAGTTGAATAGAGTTTGTCGGGGTCTCCAGTGCCAAAAAGTCTGGAAAAAAAAAAACATCAGCTCCTCGTCGGCAGCTTTGGACCTCCTGAAGGGTCCCCATGGCAGGTTTCCAATCCATGGGGGTACCCCCAGCTCATCAATTTATAGATGGATTTTCCTGATTTTCCATGAAATACGCAATAAACCATCTATTTAGGTCTAGCTCCAATTTAGCAAAACCACAATATGTATCTGGTGCCTCAGCCTATCATCCGACCTGGAAGATCTAAGAATCTGGGCTGAACTGGAGATGTGGGCAGCCCTCTGTTCTCTACATCCTGGAGATACAAATATGACAGCCTTCAAGCCACTGCGAATACAGAATCTACTGAATTCTGAAATGTAGAACACTCTGCATGTCATCGACAATCACATGATAGCAAATCGGGAGGAAAAGAAACACTAGAATCACTAGAAGCCGAAGACCACTGCGTACGAGGTGCTGGACTCCCAAGTTCTCCCTTTGTCAGAAACCATCCTCCATCAATCTCAAAAAATGGACCCTTCGCAGGGTAAAGAAGTATGTTTTTCTTGGATTTCAAGTGGTGTTGAAACCTCGCAAATGAATACAAATGATGAAGGGATGTAAGTAAATTTCCCGAATTGCTGTAGTTTGTGCTCCCTTTTTTTGTTGATTCAGATCCCTATGGCCCTATGGCCCTTTTCAAGCTTCTTGGTGAAACGTGAGGAATTCCTATACCCAAACCAACCAAAAACCGGCCCATGCCTTACACATAAGCGTCGTGCCGCTCTTCGCCTTGGCCGTCTGAGGATCCATCCTTTTGGGGATGTCACAACGGGATGTCGCCGGAATCAACAACCAACCAATGTGCCGCGGCTTGGGCGCTAAGCTGGAGAAATCCTAGACTTAGACATTCAACATCCTTCCTGACCGATGGTCGACATACGAGTCTCATGAATCCTAGACACCAAAGCTTACACCTTCGGTATGTCGAATGAGTGCAACTTCGGATGAAAATGTCAGTCTTCGCTGGAGTTGTAGTTGTAGTTGTAATTGTTGTTGTTGTTGTTGTTGTTGCTGTTGCTGTTGCTGTTGCTGTTGCTGGTGTTGTTGTTGTTGTCGTTGTTGTCGTTGTTGTCGTTGTTGTCGTTGTTGTCGTTGTTGTCGTTGTCGTCGTTGTTGTCGTTGTCGTCGTTGTTGTCGTTGTCGTTGTCGTTGTCGTTGTCGTTGTCGTTGTCGTTGTCGTTGTCGTTGTCGTTGTCGTTGTCGTCGTCATCGTTGTCGTTGTGGTTGTGGTTGTTGTTGTTGTTGCTGTTGTTGTTGTTGTTGTTGTTGTGGTTGTGCCCCAAAATCCTGGAATCTCATGGAAAAAAATCATCATGTTGCGAATCAATCATGATCTTGCCATTTGGGGGTACCCTCCGGTAATCAAACATGGTTTGCTGGGAAATCATCCATTTGTATGTGTATAATGTTTCTCAGTTTTACAGCATATAAAACCTTGTATTACGGATTGTCAATTGCCCTGGTTGATTCACAGATGGTATCCCCTGGTGTTTGACAAAGTCACATAAAATATTGGCCAACCATCTCTGATGATGAAATGGTCCCCCTGCCTGCTCTGGACAGCCAGCGCCGCTGCGGCACCTGCAAACCTGACGAGTTGAACAAATAGGCCAATAGTGACATTGGGCATTGTAGGGTACCCCTAAAAATCCACTAAGATTAAGAAAATGTGGTGATTATAAAATACATAACTATTTGTAGTGAAGCAAATCCACTAGTTATGGTGATCATCAGAAAATTACAGCAAAAAAACAATCATTAAGGGTGTGTGTGTGTGTGTGTGAATATGTTTTAGTGTACCCTATTCCTGGACAAATCCAGCATTGATGTGGGTCAAGGGCGGTCAAGACCTCCGTGTTTTTTTCTTTTGAAGACTGTGCTGGCCTGGTGGTTTTAAACCATATATAAACCATGTAATGAGGTAAACCCAAGGCCATAAACCATCCCCAAATGGTAGTTGTTTATGGCAGCCAGGCTTTTCCACATTAGAAACCATTGTTCACCCTGACCAACCACTATGAAGTATATATTATTCTTGTCAACATTTATCAACCAACTTTACCTATTCACCACTATTAGCCATTACTAACCATTACTAACCATTACTAACCATTATTAACCAACTACAATTGCTTAATGTTTGTGTGAAACCACCAAGCACTGGTTCATTGGGCCATGCCATGTCCGCCTGGCCCCCGGCGGCACATCGCTGCTGCTTGCACCGCCGGTCACCCCCGGGGTCCAAAACCTGAAGCGCTGGGGACTATTGGTGGTTAACCAAGCAAAACGGGAATTTGAGTTGATTTCACCTGCATAAAATGAGTTCTAAATTCACAGAATTGCCAAAGTGCCATTTTTGCCAATGATTGCTATGGAGAAATAGGGATTTAAGCACAAAAATCATCATATCAATATAAATACCCTCTGGTAATTTAACATAACTATTGAACATGACCCATTTATAGTTGATTTACCTATTAAAATTGGTGATTTTCCATAGCTACGTTAGTTTACCAGAGGGTACATATTTACATCAGACCATCCGCAAGCCTGGTTTTTTCATCGATTCCCGTCCTCTCACTACGCCCACTACGGGATGGGGGTGCAGCGGGTGCAGTACGAAGTGCGTACTAAATCACCACAGTTGACATAGGGGTTATATCAAGTTATATCCCAACTTTTGGAAGTTATGACTCAGTTACCATCCTTATACTCCAAAAAGGATATATCACAACTTTGGTGCAAGTTCACCCTCCGGCACACATGGCAGCTCATTTCCCAAAGTGAATCGCTGTGAAAGCCATACTGTCATACTGGACCATACTGCGAATAACGATCTACAACTGCCAGATCTTGGGAGGCCTGAACCATTGGCTCATCGGTCATGATTCTCAGGCAAGTGTAATTAATCACATCATGTATTGGTATGATAATTGTGTTGTGCACACGTATATATTTGGGTTCAATTGTACATGTACAGTATGTATATTAATACTTCTTAATGACAATCATGTATTTGTGTATATCAAATATATATATATATATACTCATGTATATGATGGCATGCTCGTTCAAGTGTATTGGTTGGATCATCAGACCACATACAGTTAATCGCATCGTATCGCATCATCCAAGAAAGATGAATCCCAACATAAACAGCCATGTGAAGCAAATAATCTACTGTAAGTGAATCTCAAAAAGATCCAGAAAACTCATGGCGAACTTGGCACCCGCTACTGAATAGTGGCAACAATCACCCAGCAACATTCGCTTTTTGGGTGGGGGAAAAGAAGGTACAATCTACCAGCCGTTACAGTTACAGGGGAAAGGGGTGCCGGCCCACACAACATCCCCAGCAGGGTGGACTGACTGGAGTCTACCTCGGACTCACGTAGTTTCGCCTACCTGGTTCCCTAATTTCAGGTCAAATTTAGAGGAAACTGGTAATGAAAAAATCTGGGATTTGGTCTCTATTATATATATATTATATATTATATATATATAACTATATTATATTATATATACAACTATTATATATATATAATTATAACTGGGAATTGGTGATTGGTTTCCTCTAACGGGTTTACAACATTGCCCTGACCCCGGTGCTTCGTTGCTGATCTTTGGCAAGAAGTCTACCCAGTAGTAGCAAGTCATGAAGCACCAATTTCATGGGCTTCAAAGCCTTCCAAGTCAACTATCAACCATCTACTAAAGTTACTAACGTCCATAAGTGGTTGCTACTTGGAGTATCCAAACCAGTTTTGATGTCACTTCCGCCAAAGCACACAGGGGCTGAGGGAGCATAGGGCCGCTGGTTCACCACCTCGGCTGGCAGCAACGGAGCCGTCTGAAACGGTGCTTACCGGTGCAGAGTCAGAAACCCCCCAAAAATTGAGGTTTTTTGAGAAAAAAAAGGAGGGAGAAACCAGGCATGGTTTTTTGGAAGAATTGGGTGGTTGATCTTCTGAAAAGCTGAGAAAAGGAGACTGAGAGTCTCCAACTTGTGCGGGTAGGTCTGTTATCCCCACTTGCCAACCGTGCCCAATTGTTGCTGGTGGTTTATGTACATCATGTTATATCCCATTTCAGGATGCAAACTATGTAACTAATATATGTATATATGTTTTATTCATTTATTTATTTATTCATCTATTTATCTATTTACTTACTTACTTACTTACTTATTTATGTGTTT